CTTATAAACTTCCACCTTCCGGATACTCACACAGGTGACGTTTTCTTTTTAGTGTGGATCCTAACTTCCTCTTCCTCCTCATCTGAGCTGCTGCTGGCGGTGGCCTCAGAGTCCAACGCCTCCTGCAGGCCTCTCAGCAGCGCCTGGCTGGAGCAGCTGAACTCTCTGAGCTCTGAGAAGGAAAACGAGGCTGTGGGCGAATCCAGCCAAGAACAATAGGGATCACTTCCCACTTGTGGAGGTAGTATAAAGGAACTTAAGGAGTCTGAGCTGTCCAGAGACACGCCGCTGATTTGACAATGCTTTTTCAGCCCTTCTAGTTGCTGGTCACAGTGTTGCAAAGCATGCTCTCCTAGCAGCGCTTGCAGTCTCCTCTGCAGCCTCTGAGCTCGGCTTTGCAGCCCTGCCTGCCTGCAGAGCTGCTCCTTCACAGCTCTCGGTGCCAGCTGGTCGGAGTTCACCCTGCAATTACAAGGCTGCACTGAAGATGCACTAGGACAGCCCATTGGAGTCACTCTCCCCTGTGACAGTGTAGGTTGGAGTGCAAAGTATGGAGTGTAGCCCTGGGAGCCACTCTCTCCATGGCAATAAGAAGGAGGAACACTCCGCATAAAAGGGGAATGCTGCACATCACCACCACCTGGCCCATATTCAGGAGCAGCACCATGCAGCAGACAAATCTCTTGGCCATTGTGCTCAGGGACAGGGACTAAAAACATGTCGGGTACACCTGGGAAGACCTGATGAGAATCTCTCAGGCCTTTAGGGAAGGAGAGGAGGCTGAGGAGGGAGGCCGGGCTGGGGAGAAACTCGGTCTCACACTGCCTGGCAGACGTCTGCAGACAGGGGGAGAGCACCGGGTTGGCAGGGAACTCCAGGGGGCTCAGAGGGAGACACAGGTCCAGAGAGGGGAACAGGGAAAGGTTCAGCCACATCTTTTGGAGGTCACCGTCATCTGTTAAGCCCATCTGAGATTCCAGCTCAGAACTACACATGACTCTTCCATCTGAGTCCATTCTGACCGAGGCAGGAGGGGAGGACAGGTGGATCCCATGGCCATCTTTCAGGGTTTTGGTAAGAGCCGGGGCCATACCACTGATGGTCAAGGTAGCCAAGGCAGCAGATTTCACCTCAAATTACCTGACAGTAAAAAAAACATGTTAGAAGGTAATGGACACCTACTGATGCGAAAAAAGTTATCAATAAAAGCAAATATGATACAAAATACTGTTTGTCTATGGATAATGAGACCATATAATGTGTTGGGGTTAGATTGGTGAATTTACAACCTTTCAAGACATGGTAATACTATTTATTACAGATGGGAAAAATAGAAATACTAAATTGTAAAAATACTCTCTTACGAGTAAGAGTCCTGCATTCAAAATCTTACTTAAGTAAAAGTATAAAAGTATTGGCATTGATACTTAGAGTATCAAAAGTAAAAGTACTTATTGTGCGTCATGTCCCCTTTCAGAATCATATCAATTACTGGATTATTAGTTTTGGTGCAATAATGTGTTCATCAGAGCTGGAAAAAGTGGACCTACTTGTAATACGTTATATGCTACTGCTGCATATCCTAATCATAATTGTGTATTATAGTTTATGTATTAGTTTATGTTTTGTAATAGATATTAATCTGAATCTGTAAAGTATAGTCATTAATTGTGTCAAATAATTGTAGTGAAGTAAAAAGAACAATATTGGTTCCCAACTTGTAGTGGAGTAGAAGAATAAACTAGCATGAAATAAAATATTCTAGTAAAGTACAAGGACCCAACAATCTTATTTTAGTACAGTACTTGAGTAAATGTACTTGAGTAGCTTACATTACACCACTGGTTACAGGGTATCTGTGAGTCTCGTTTTGAGAGGCTAAAAGTGCTCTCTGTACCCTTTTTCGGACACATATTTTGGTTTTGACACGGAAAATAAATCCCTCATTTTGCTCACAGCTTATTTGTTTCAACTCTGGTTCACTCAGTTTACAACGCCTTATTAACTAACGGAATAATAACGGAATAATAAAGAAATAGGACCGCTGCTGTTTAAACGGTTTAATTACAGTCACGTTAAAGCGTTAAATAGCTATGATGAGGTAGTGTGAAAGTTACCACAACAATAACACATGTTAATTTACGGAGCCAGGTAACTTAACAAGAGCTGTATTCGTTAAGTTACACTTCTGGATATTCTCGTCCATCACAGGTTCAACATACATACCTTTAAACTAACATTACTAACAAAATGACACTATGTTACCGAGCCCGGACGTTAATAAAGTATTTTTTAACGCATAACCGCTCACCTGATTGAACATGGTTTACTCCCGTAAAATATACAGCTGAAAGCTTAAATCTTCAGTTGTTTCCTTTACCGATCGTTCCAGAAAATGATATCTGACCGGGTTATCTGGCTATCAAACTCCCGGTGAAACGATGACATTATTTTTTCCCGTTTATCGGTAGATCCGCTGTACTTCTAACTGACACCTCCCTGCTTCACTCATCAACTGCCGAGGAGCGAGGAGGAGGAGGAGGAGGGGCTGGACCGCACTCATGATGCCTTCAGGGCCCCTTCAGAAGATCAGACTCGGCATGTGTTTTCCTTACCATACTTTCATTACATTTGTTTAATTGTACCCAAAGAGCCAATTTGGCCTCAGAATATTGTATTTTTGTTTAAGGTTTGATATTAAGGCTTTGTGTGAATTCAACTGTATTCAACACACATAAATACAATCGTATTACCTCTTTATCTTGTAATGTGTCAAGGTAAAATCTCTCTAACACTTTAATTTCAAGATAACAGAAAATGATCTTATAAATAGAGATAATATCTCAATTATATCATAATTACAAGACACTTATTGTATCATTATAATATAACATCTTTCAACTATGTACGTTCCAGTTAATGTTAGTTTTTCTTAATATCTCAATTGTCAAATATTTTCCTCCTAATTATGTACAATGTATTTTGTGTTTATACAAAGCATTTCCAGAATATTGTAACTGCTGTAAGGCTCCTGTATAGAAAGAGATTGCTTTCTTGTATATTTACGTTTTTGACTCCTCAAAATGTGAGCCTTTGCCATGGTTTAAAAAAAAAGTTAATTTAGAAAATATCAGGAATGATGTTAGATTAAAGGGCCAGTAACCTTAATTGTAGTCCATATGGCTTTGGTACAATTGTATAGACAAATTACAAAACCACTATTACAAAAAGTTACGGTTTTTAGTCCAATGGTTTATGAGGTATGCAGTCCAAACAAGGCAATAATTTAAACCACAAAGAATGAGGACAATACATGTGAAGCAAATATTGTTACATTTTAATATTGATATACATTAAGCCTCACCACAAGAAATACAAAAGGATCATACAGTTGTACCACCTGTTTTGTGTTGTACAGAACAAAAAACAATTCAGCAACTTGTGTTTTACAAAGATACTCTCTTACATTTCGCAGGTCATTAAGATTTTAAATATAGATAACGATATTTACGACAGATTATGGAGGTATCATTTCAGAGCATGTGATGTGACCTCTGCCAGCATCAAAGGACAAAATCATTGATAGAAATATATTGTTCACATCTTGGATATTTTGTTTCTGAATCTTTGCAAATTAAAAGTTGAAGAGTGATTAATAGATTCTCCCTTTAAGTAAAAATAAAATGGGGGTAAAAATCCTGCATTTAACCCTTCTGTTGTCCTCGGGTCAAATATGGCCGATTCACCTTTTTGTTTTACATTCGATTGCATTAAGGCTGTATGATATCATTCACAGTAGACATTTGAAAATATAAAATTGCTGACCACCACTTTCAATTTTTATTTTATTTTATTTGAGATGATTTAGTCAACTTTGTAAGACCCGTGTTCCCGGTCAAAAATGACCGCCATAAAGAAAATGAATTAGTAACCATCCGGATCAGATAAAACACACACACACAAACACCCACACATTCTCTAGATGTGTGTCACCCCCCTTATGAGCCCAATCCCCCCATGTGAATCACACCTGACACACACACACACACGCGCGCGCGCACGCACACAGAACAATATGACACATTTCCCGCTCTTATGTGCCCATCCCCCCACATGGATCAAACCTGGCACACGCAATACATGTTCAGTGTCTATTCTTTGTTTATTTACTGCAGTTTTACATGTATGCCAGTAGTCTGATACAATATTTACAGTTTGAAAGGCTGTTACATGAAATTTGGTGATGATTAATGGTGTTTGTGTTAATGTAATTACTAATAGCAGTTAAAACAGGACCGGTCAAATTTGACCACGAACACCGAAATAAAGATGGAAATAAAATGAAAATGAAATGGTTATCAAAATGTGCCTTATAAGGGTTTTACTATTATAACTTATACGATTACTTATACTGATGCATTAGTTTGTAAGTATCATGTGACTGTTGTAGTTGGTCTGAGCTGTAATTTCTAAGAAAGTTTTGAATGGATACATGTGAAAATAATGTGAAAATAATATGAAATAAAGCAAATACAAAGCTTAAAACACAATAGAAATATTACTTATAATTTTTTACAATTTACGGGGCACCTTGCCATCTATAACATAAACACATAATATATCATACAAATCTAAATTGTAGATAGATCTCAAGTTACAAACTGTAACCTACTGTATGTTATGGTGTAAACCTAACAATTAAAATAAAATGTTAAAACACTATAGAAGCACTATTTTGTTGCAAAAAAAAGTTGACAAGAAGTTCTGCTTGCATATACATTGTCATGGTTTGTAATTGTAGTCACTGTTTTTTACTGTGTTCTTGTTTTTAACAAAGATACCCCATGCTAAATATTGGCTTATCATTTGTGTTGATACAAAAAAAGTTAACCTTTAAAACAAAGCATTGATTGTGTCTAAACTCTTACATTAATATTCAAGCTTCAGGGGCAGCTTGATTCACCTCACCAGTGTCCTGTCTTCTGGATTGAGCTCCTGTCTCACCCTCCTTGTTCAGTCTGTTGTTCTCTGCAGCATTGAGCTGCTCTGAGCCAGATGTCCGCTGCTCTCTGCCTGAATACAGCCTGACCAACTCCCAGGGCCACCGTAGTGCCTGACATGTACAGGTTAATGACAGTGAAATGTGTGGTTGGATGGATAAATGCAAGGGGAAGAAACTCGTACAAAGTCCACGCAGAGCAGATCAGGTACAGGACTCCCTGTAGGATGCCAGTGACGGTGACCCTCACCTGGCTGCGTAACCGTGGATGGGAAACTGGCTGTCCGTTTGCTACCATACGACGCATGTGTCCACACAGGTAGACTACAGTACAAAGACTCGACATCACCATCACACACAGACAGAAAAAGAAGTGGATCTTCAGAATACAAACCACAATGAGGAATACATATTTGAGCCATTTCAAGGAATAAACCACAGTGTCATGATCCATTGTGGAATTGCTCGATCCAAATCTATAAAACGAATGGCCCAAATACAAGGTTGTAAAATCGAACACAGTGTAAATCCTCTCAACAAGCCAAAAGCAGTAGATGATGGATTTGACATTATTCTTAATCCAGATGGAGAGAGCACTCTGCGCAGGTACAATCTGTGTGTAGTAGAAGAAGTTCAGCCAAACAGAGGATGTTATACTATTGGACAGACTGCAGACCGCCACCACATTTGAGATTCGAGAGACTTTCCAACTTTCAGCTTGACGAGAAAAGACCATCACCATAAATGACATCAGGTATGTTATTGAACAGCCAATCAAGGTCCCCAGGAGAAGCTGCAGAGGTTGTTTGATCCTTTTTCCGTTAAGTGGACAGCCGATGCAAAACACATAAAACGCATTAGCCAGGGCATTTAGAAAAACAAGAGGTCCATTAATTAGGAGAAATGTAAGGTGGTTCATCTTTAATCTGTTTGCTGTTTCCGTGTTAATGTCTTTTTCCTTTGAAGTGAGCTCACAAATAAAGCCTGCAAGGCAGCCGTATGCAATGAGACCAATCTGAGCACTTTGCATACCATGCAAAGGCAGATGTAAATAAAGCACATTCGTGAGAAATTGCTTAAAAAGGATTACGGAAATTACTCCATGTGTTTATTTTATGTGTTGATGATTTGAATAACCTTGAAATTGTGGGATTTTAATTACAATGTTTGTTTTTCCAAGCAGGATGATTAAAACATTAGCGTTTATTTTGATAAAAATTAGGCAGAACATTGCATCATCTAAATCGGGCAAATGTAGTGCCTCCTTCTGAGTGCAGTGGCGGAGCCAGGACATTTTCAGTGGGGTGGCCAGGATGGAACCAGTGATCATTTTGGGGTGGCATTGAAATCACTATTAAATTAACATAAAAATACATCTCACTAGAAAATAAGGGGTTATTTAAGGCACCTACAACACACCTCTACATTATTTGGGATTAAGTGGTGGAATAGATAAAATAATATTCAGTATATCTAACTATTTTTTTCGTATTCCCGCAGGCAAAGTATCAACAAAGCTTACATTATACAAATGTAATGCAATATACAGACTGTTTAGCTTATGGTGATCAGCAGCACTATGAACTCATTCTCTCAGTGTATCATCAGGAATACAGAGACACGCACACATCATTTAAATAAGAGTTTTTAAATTAAATGATAGGTTAAGAATAAACATCTTAAAGTAAATAACAATAAATAATAGCCCTTAACCCTGTAAGGCCCCCGGTTGTAATTTGACAACATTACTTGAAGCTATCCTAAAAAAGTCAGTAAATGTTTTGTTTTTTTAAAAGACTACATTTACATAGTAAAAAGGTCATTTTGTTCAGCCTCACAATGCTATTGGGTAGTAAATGTGTTTATAGGTCCTGCCCTCTGGCCATACACTCACACAACCAGGGGCACCGCCAGGGATTTTGGGCCCCATGGAAATATATCACATTGGGCCCCACCACCAGGCCCAGGCCATGCCAACCAAGCACAATTGCTGACCACACCTCCAGAACCCAACCGACTCATTTTTTACATTATGTTAGACGCTTTTATCCAAAGCGACTAACATACTCAATACTGTGGACAATCCCACAGGAGCAATTTTGGGGTGAAGTGTCTTGCCCGGGGACACAATGACATGCTGACTGCAGTGGGGTTTGAACCTGCTGTGACCCCCTGATCCCAACACCAAGGCTCTATCCACTGCGCCACACGCCTCATTTATGCTAACTCCTACTGTTAAGAACTCAGACACTTAGGATGTAGGACCCAATTGCACGACCCGGGAGACAGAGGTAAAGTATTGGTAAGATACTTTATTTTCCAAAAAACAGCAAGATGAACAGAAAATGGTCACTATCGAATCTCCAGTTGAGATGACAAAAATTGAGAACAAAATGAAAGCGCTCACATAGTGAGGAACAAAACTTTCCAAGAGCACAAATAGAGCATAGGCCTGACCATGGCAAGAGACAAGACAAACTGACACTGAACACTGGGAGACAGGGGAATTTAAACACATGACAACAAGACACAGGTGAAAACAATCAGGGGCGGGGCTGACACTGATGAGGGCGGGAGACACACACCAGGATAGGAAGTGGGAGACAAGACAGAAAATGGTTAAACAAAACATGAAACATGACTAGACTCAACACTTCTGTCGGTGCACAACACCTACTACCTGTACAGGCTTGCATCTATCTTGTAGTCCAATGCTAACCGCACACTATTTACTGACACTGAGCTGTGAAAATATAACACTTACAGGGCTGCTGAGCCTAGAGATGGATCTGTTGGTCCCGGCACCAGGGGGAGGGACAACTGATTTAGTATGAATAGCTGCTAAAAATCTACCTGCATTTGTTAAATGTCAGCTAAAAGAGCAGTGCAATTAAAAACCTCTGCATTTTCTTTATAGATATTAACAGTACTTAATGTCAGCTTAGTAAAAAAAACCATAACAATTATTATTTACAATGGACTACGCTTAGCTAACAGACTAATTTCCACCACTCATGGACCACACCCACCTTTTCTTTGAAAAACTGGGTGACATACTGTCGCCCTTTAGTCGCTCTCTCTTGTGTTTCTCTCCTTTCTTTTCTCTTTTGAAAGCCTGACTTTGTGAGTCGTTGAGACATGGCACACACCAGTGGCGGCGCTAGGGGGTGGCTACTTGGGCTCAAGCCCCGGATGTTTTCTGAAAAGCCCTGGATGTTTCACTTAAAAAAAAAAAAAAATTAATTTTTTTTTTTTGGAAAACGTCTCGGGAGTAATGTGCAGAGAGAGTCCACCAGAGAGGCAGCCACTGTGGGACATTAGCCTGCGTACTGCGTAGCCTGCCCTGAAGAAGAAGTGATCCTTCCTAGTGCCTGACGAGTTTTAAGCTAATAGCCTATAGAGAGGCGAAGTCACGCCCATCTACTTCCGGTCCATGGGACCCCGGAAGCGAAAAATTATACATTGAATTCAATGGAGAGAGAAAACGTATCTTTTGATCCCGTTTGAATTGTGCCATGAACTACACATATGATATTTGTCAATCTTAAACAATAATTTCCATGTCAAAAAAGTCACATTTTGTCGTAAAACTGTTGAAATATAAGACTATGAAAAATACGTGACTACAAAGACTACAAATCCCATTCTGGGTCGCGTAAGTGATGTCACAGGCGATAATGCTCCAAGTGGTTGGTTCACTTTTACAAGATGCCTGTGTGCTTTGTACCAGGTTGTAATCACAAAAGTGATCATACCACTTGCTCGTTCTATCGCTTCCCGTCTGATGAAAGGACCAGGAGTCGCTGGATCAGACATATCAGGTAATATCATAGGTAATATACATGTTGTGCATGGAACATAGTCAAGTTAGCTACCTAGCTAGTAGCGAAAAGTAGCGAGGACGTTAGTTAGCATTACATTACTTAGCCTTGTCATTTTTAGTAGCCTTACCATGAAGTTATTATTTTATTACATGAAGTAAACCAAAATGTTAAACAGTAACCAAACATGATGATAAGTATTTCGTGAAACTTTTGAAGAGTAGCCTACTGCGCCCTCCACCGGGTGCTAAGGAAGCAGTTCAGGGAGAGTACGGCAGGCATGGAGCTTTGCATGACATTCTTCTGGACGTGTTTCCTTGTGATGACAGTGAGGGTGAGTCAATCTGTTTGTTGGAAAGACAGTCGTTGTGTGCTTATTGAGAGAAAATTGTTAGAAGAGATAATTATTCAAAGTGTTGTTACTGACCTTTTTCTCTTTTATTTTCTTTACCTCACCTGTAACTGCTGAGACGTTGAGGAACATGCACACTGACCTGCTCTGGCATTTAGTTATGGTATATTATTTATATACATCAAAGGCACAATGCACCCCCCAGAGACACACATGTATTGAGTGTGATATTTTGCATAGGTCATGTGAAATCATCTTTACATACTAGAAAACTGTAGGAGCGGCAACTTGTTTTGAAATTGAATTTTTAATATCCGATAATAAAGTTGATCTGTTTTCTTTATTCTTCTCTCTTCCCAGCTCCATCCATCACCATTCTCTGTCCCTGCAGGTCCTGCTTGCTAATCAATGCTCATATTTTTTTACACAATTACAAATAAAGTCATTGTATTGTATGACATGAAGTTGTGCTTCATTCGGAGTCAATAATAAATTCATTCTGCCTTCAACTGCACAATGATTGTGGACTGCACCGACATCCATGTAGCTGCCCCCCAGTAAGATGGTCACCATCATGCCCAAGGACATCCAGCTGGCCCGCCGCATCCGCGGAGAGAGGGCTTAGACTGACCTGAGACCAGCACACCCAAACACAACAGCTCTTTTAAGAGCCACCTACAGTTTCAAAGAGTTGCAATCCTACGTTATTATAATGATTAAACTGGTTCATGTATCACTTAGTTTACTGAACCGTGATGAATGAAAGAAATTAGTGAGGTAGTGGTTTACTGAAGTTACAAAGACATTAATATATGAGTAACAGGTCAGTGTAAACACAAGCTTCTGTCAATTATGGATCATTCAAACTATTTATATACAAATATGTAATAAAGTTCTAAAACAAGTATTCGGTATATTCCTTGATAGCTTTTGGAGAAGGTTGTTTTTAATTTTACTAAAATCTATCATTTCAACTGTTTCACTTTATAAAAAGGGAACAGGTGAGTAGAGCATCATTGAGTTTCTTATTCTGTCTAAATTATCCAAATGAATGTTTTTCATTATTTTAGTCAACCCTAAACAAATTGATTGTACCTTTTAATAATGACCTTACATGGTCAGCAAAGTTAAATTAACTTCAGAAAATAAAAACTGTTCTGAGAAAAAACTAATAAATGTTTAAAGATAGGAACTTGCCATCCCACTGAAAAACAGTCTGTAGAGATTTAAAGGCGTAGTTGTAGTTCAGTCCAACGTTTCATTTGGATTCATTTGACAACAGTCAACTCTTTTCATAAAGAATATATATATTTTTCAAAGTCAACTTTATTGTCAATCTTACTCAGTTTGTGTTTATAGACAGAGATAAAAAAGACGTTTAAATAAAATTATACAATTTACAGATATGTATACAAATATATATATCCTATATACACCATCATGTATAATGATGGTGTATGATGTAGAAGGAAGTGTGGTAGATAACAAGTAAATATAGAGTTACATACAGATCCATGTTACAGCAAAAGATGGAATAACTAAGAAGCACGCAGTATAATAATAATTACATGCAACAATTAAATAACTGCTCAGCATCTCCACCACAATCCCAATCTGCTGTGTCCTGTTTTCCTCTCCTCTGCATAACACCCCATCACACATACGAAACACAACGCAGAGTCCGAGGGTGTTAAGAGTATGTTTATTTAAATGTCCTCCTCTCTACTGGCCAACACAGGGAGCATA